TGAATATTAATCTTGCCTCTCTCTGGGCATCTATCCTGGCCTGTAATTCTTTACTACCTTGGTAGTTCTTTGATGTTTTCAAGAAGATACCTTGCTATTTTATTTCACCCACCTTTTTCTATATACTTTCAGAGAGGGTTGATGAGGACTATGCAGTCTACCATTACTAAAAGGAGGTATTCTGTGAATTCAACATTCTCACTTGTTGCCTGTTGCCAATGATCATTTGTAACATATAAATAATGACAAATCAGCTCACTGATTTGCTTAAAACATTTCCATCACTCCTGAGTACCTTTGGGAAACATTTTGCAGTGTGCATGCAGGGTTTGGACTATGACCGTATACATGGCACTATGGAGGGTTCTTCACCACAGGCCTCTTCTGGAACTCTGAAGTTTAATGTGCATTGTAGGGGAGGGAATTAAACACACTGCTTCCCTAATCTGTTTGAGTACAGAGGCTTATGTTTGCCAGCATCTATTTTTTTTTTTTTTTAGTTTGTGAGACTTATTTATTTATTTATTTATTTATTTATTTAAGTTCTGGGGTACATGTGCAGGATGTGCAGGTTTGTTACATAGGTAAATGTGTGCCACGGCAGTTTGCTACACCGGTCAACCCGTCACCTAGGTAGTAAGCCCAGTATGCATTAGCTATTTATCCTAATGCTCTCCGTCGCCACCCCACACCAATCCCCAACTCAAACAGGCCCCCATGTGTGTTATTCCTCTCCCTGTGTCCATGTGTTCTTATTGTTCAGCTCCCACTTAAACAAGTCTTCCAGAGAACTAACTGGGAAGTGCCACTCTAGGTAAAAAGAACACCCTGTAAATGACACAGTGAGGCCCTTGGCGGTCCGTTTTCTCCTATGCCTCTAACCTCATCCTGGCCTCTTTCTTCCATACCCTGTGCTCCAGCCTGTGTGAGCCACTTGAGTTTTCCTGTGCTCTCTGTGATCCATTTTGCTCTTTTGCTACTGCCTCAATGTACTCTTCTTTTTCTTGGCCTGACTCACACTTACCCTCTAAGATAGGACCTCATCTTCTCCAGGATCTTCTTTGACCTCTTGGGCTTGTGAGAGTCCCTTCTCTGTTTTTTCAAAGCCACCCCCTGGGATCACTTTTCCTCACTATTGCTGATGTGCAAGCAATAGAATCGTCTGCTTCCTTCTGATACACTTCCTTGACCAGGAGCTCTAGAAGAACAGGGCTAGGCTTGTCCTCTGACTCACTCATGTCTGTGTCTCTGGTGCTTCAGCACACGGGGTCACTCAATAATGGTTGCAATGCATTTATTCTGCCAATATTCACTGAGTGCCCACCATGGGTCAGGCTCCATACTAGGTTTTAAGAGCAAGGAAGTAAAGAAGACAACAAGGTTGGTTTGGATCTCACATTCTTGTAGATGTGGATATTCCCCAAACAAATCCTGCACTGAAAACACCTGACTAGACATTTCTGGCTTAAGTTAGCCCACCCTAGCCTGAAGGCAATACAGGGCTGGCTCTGCATGCTGTCAGATAAATCGTCTTCCTCCAGTGAGCCAGTGGCTTGTCTGCAGTCAAAGGAGGTCAGAAGCCAGAGCCTCTGGGGGCCTATAACGTTATGCATCTTGTAGAGTCTTAACTAAAGCTCAGATCTGCCACAGTGCTCACTTGCACATGTGGTCCTGTAACTGCAGGATCAGGGCTCACTGTTTCACTCGTAAAAAATAATCTTGTGTATCTTTGCAGGAGAGCTGTTCCAACAGGGTTTATCCTTGGGGCAGCCATTCAAGGTGAGGTCATCTTTCCCATTATCTTAGTTTTCATGGGTGATGAAATGAGTTTGAATTAAATCCTGGAAGCTTGAGTACATTTACATAACTCACCATGACTGGCCAGAATAGTAATTTTGTTATTACTCTAATGAAACAACAACAGTGACCATGGCGACTATCACTTATTGAATACCCACTATGTCTCAATTGTCAATAAATGCCCTATTCAGAATGGAATTCTGTCCCAAATGCTAACCAGCCTGTCCAGAAAATAACTTTGTGCAGTGGAAAATGTATGTGGTATGGAGTCAGGCAGATCTGGGATTTACTCCCAGCATGGTTACTTGTTAGCTGTGGGACTTCGGCAAGTTTCTCACTTCTCTGAACTTTGGGGTGGTCCTTGTAAAGTGATAAACTTAGACTCATTGGGTTGTTAAGGAGAATAAAATGTAGTGCACGTATTGCATCTCACCCACTGACTGGCATATAGTCAGTACTCGAAGCTTAGTTGGTTTTCCCTGTGGCACACTGGAAACCTCTCTCTGAGACTCTTGGGCTCATGGGCGAGATGTAGGTCTGGACCCTGAAGCTCATATCTACAGCCCCTGCCTGGGTCTCCTCTCTGCCCAGGACCGTGAGCTCTGTGGCATTGCCCACTTTGGGTTTGTGAGAATTTCTGCTGCCTGGAATCTCCTCCTGCTGAGTCTTCCTGAACTTCTGCCCTTCCCATTGGACTTGATCTCAAGCAACCACGAACTTGTGAACTGTTGCATCCAATTCTTTATCCACCTGAGTTGAGGAGAAACATTTAACAAAAGCTGCCAAGGATCAATAGAAGCCCAACCTGGGAGAACAGAGCCAATGAGTGCTCTGTGAGCAGGTGTGTGGGACAGTTCAATTTAGATTTCATTAAGGTTCTCTGGTGGGAAGTAGGGGGTGGGTGTTGGCCCTCAAGCCTTCATGGCACAGACCAGCTCTGGGGTGCAAGCTAGTGGTAGGCTGGAGACACAGTCTGTATACGGATTGACATCCCTTCTGAATCATAGGAGATGAATACTCCCTGCCTGCCTGGTTGGTTCTAAGTGCTGTAAGTTCATTGTCCCTAGTCCTTGCACAAATATTCTTGATAGGTGGGCATCAAGGCTTAAGAGGATCAAAGAGCTGGTATGCAAATACCCAAGGACCATTTCATGGGCCCCCAGTAGATGGAAGCTGTTATTCAGAAGCCAACTTTTAAAGAGGTTAAATGATTTACCCAAGGACCTGATTCCATGTCTCAAATTATTTCAAAGTCTGTCTCTTTTATTTTTTTCACCAAGCCTTTTCTGCAACCAGGAAGGGCAGAGATATTCTAGGAGGATTTAACTGTAGGAGGAGATATAAATATTTATCGAATAAACATAAACACATGAATGAGTGAATGAATGAATAGAATATTAATTCTTCTGTAGAAATATTCATTTCTTCTCTAGCAATAATCTATTATAGAGCCTTCCAGAATGACTGGCCCTAAACCCTTTCCTCCATTGCCACCAAGTCACCCTACTCCTGGCTCTCCACACTCAACAGCTCAAGTCATGAGGTAAATTGTGGGCATTAGAGTAGTTTAATCCTGAGTTTCCACCAAGGTTCCTAAATGAAACAAATTTTCATCTCATTCTCTTGGATGAAGCCAACATCTTCACCATGAGATAAATACATATACTTATATATTCATATACACATTTATCCAATGTGTATTTGGAGATTAACCATATGCTCGGTACTATCCAATGACCTGGGAATAGAAAGATAATTAAGAAAGAGCAGGGAAGGACTCCAAAAGAGTTCACCTGCTGGTAGTCAATCAGATACCATGGTTCTGTGGGAACACAGTAAAGCTGTCTTAAAGGATCAGTACAAGTTTGCCAGACAAAGGGAGTAACTCGTGAAAAGGTGCCAAAGGCTGGGAGGCCATTGGCCTGTGACAAGCTCAGCTCTGGTTAGAGGGGCAATGTCGCAGACAGGCATAGGTGTGGGTGTTCATTCCTGTTCTGACACTCACCAGCTTTGTGATTTTGGTCAAATTATTTCATTCTCAATGTGTTAGTTTCCTTATTTTAGAACTTGGGATGTTGTTGCTGAGGATGATGATGATAAAAATAAAAAAGGTAAGCTATAGCCCTTATGTGCCTGATATTGCTCTAAGTGTTTTACATTAATTCACTTAATCTTCAAAATGCCCCAGTTAGATATTTTTCTCCATTTTAGAGACAAGGAAACTGAGTAAAGTACCTCAACAAGTTATTGTGATGGTGCAACGAAAAGAAACGTGTGTGCGTGTGTGTGTGTGCATGTGCATTTGTGTGCGTGTGTGTGTGTGTGTGTAAAATATGCTCTCAGGACTCCCTGTTCAGAACCATGACTCTTTAGATTCCAAGGTAACAAAGAGAAATAAAATTTGCCTGATTACAAAGTCTTAAAGTAATTGTGTTGATATTGCCAAGTCTGCCACATTCTGAGAGCAAGGGATTGATCCTTTCTACTGTGTTTTTAAAGAAATCATAGGAGGAAAAAAGCCCTCACCCATCAAAGCATTTTACAACTCTTTCTCCAAGGTCAGCCTTCTGTTACTACTATGACCTCCTTAGACATTAACAGGGGAGCCTTGACAGACTTCCACTGTGAACTTTGCCCCTGTTGAGAAATGCTTGTCTCACGATGTTCCTTCTGATATTCTCCGTGGGGACACTCAGCATCTTGCATCATTCAGCTGGACAGTTTGGAGTAGAATCTTCTCCTAGGGTTAACAGCAAAAGACCAAACAAATGCTCAGCATTCCGTAAAACCTACATGGCAACTAGGAGAAAGGCAAAGCTTTCTAGAACAACGTAGGCAGTGAGCAGTATGTTCCCAGCTGGCTCTCAATAAATAATGACCAGTGGGATCATAAGACAGTGTCAACAGGGGAAAAATAAAGGGCTCAGTGGAGAACATCTGACTCCAAACTTCACTTATGGGAGTATGATGGCTGGACATGGAAGGCATGACCAAATCAACGAGGTTCTTGTAGGCTAGGCTGTGGGGTCTGAAAGTCTTTCCATAGTCAGTGGGAAAATGTTGAAAGATTGAACCATGTATCTACTCTATTTTTGCCAGAGAAACCACTCTTGGAACCGTAGAGTAGGTAAATGGGAAGGGACCATAGAAGAAGAGAGTTAGATAAACTAAGGGGCCATTGTTGTGTCACAGTGGGAAAGGATGAGGTTCTGAACTCAGAAACAGTGGGCTGGTAGAGAAGGAGACACATCTGTGAGATATTTAGGAAGGAAAATTGTAGGGCAGAATGGATCTGAAGTCAATGAAAAATTCTTCATAGCTCTAGTCATTGGACTTCCCCAGAAGACACTGAAAGGAAGGTTTGGATGCAAGTTGTTCATTTAGGAGGAGATCTCAGGAAGCACAGAGTATTTCCTTGGGTTAGGACCTCCAAGTCCTCCCCTAACTGTAAGTAAGACAGGAAAGGGAAGGAATCCACTGTAGGGTGCCTTAAGAAGCAAATTACCACTCTGGGCAGCCAGAGTTCATCCCACTGTGGTCTTCTGGGATACTGTGTAGAACATGCCCCCAAGTTGTCTCATCCAAAGGGTGAGAGAGCTGGGGTATTTATCCTCCAACTCTCATGTGAGATTGTTGAGAGCTGTTCACAGGGAGGAACATTAGTTCCATAACATTTCCATTCTGCCCTAGAGCTAGACACATTTCCCCTCGTAAACAGGTTCCATTAGTAAGAAGATTAAGATCTATCAGGTGGCAAGCTCCCGTGGCCAAGGAAAGCCCTATGCAGAGAATCAAAGGTGCTAACAGTAAGAATTCCTGGGCATATACTAGGTGGTGAGTGCTGGGGGGATGTAGGTAGATGCAAATAATATGTTATAGCTTTTTTGATTTTTTTCTTTTAAAAGGAGACCATGGAGGTAAAGCTCTAATAGTATGCTTATATCTCAGGTCACTAAGGTCAGCTGGGGTGGCAGATAAGTACAGGCTACATATGGGGCTCAGCCATGACTGGTTGAGTGTCCTGCAGGAGATGAGCCTGGGGCCTGCTGCCTGGCCTGGCGCCTATCTTACTGTGATCTGCACTGGGCATAGAACTCCAGCCTCATGTGTCTGCCAATGCTTACTGCCTTAATGAAACACAAGGGCTGTCAGCAAAGGGACTTTATTGCCACTAGAAGAACTTTTGTCAAATGATAAAAATGAGCTAGCTGTGCCTTACAGAAAGCTACCATGCAATGATATATGCAGGCTGATGGCCTTAAATTAACTGATTAATAAATAGGAGGTGAGAAGGATGATATTGTTGGCCATAATGAATGCTAATGAGGTGACCCCGCTAATGAGATTCCTTTCTTCATTCTGTTATTACACTCATCAGTTATGCAGCATTGATTACCACCTACTTCTTGCATCTCCAGGCTGAGAAATGGGTGACTTAATGGAGATGTTTCACCCAGAAAAGCAGTGATTGGGTTAGGAAAACTAGAAGCTGGAGAAGAGAGTTGGTTACATTATAATCTGATTTATTGCTTCAAAAGATAGATTCTTTTTTACATGTTGGATCTTTAAAAACAACCTGTTTTATTCAGGCTGAACTGCAGAAATGGCTATATTTCTTAACGCTTTTGACATATATAAAGAAATATGCCTATGACTCCTTCAAATGACACGCTGCAAATTTGGTCATAATAGAAGTCTTTATGAGAATTACATTTCTTCCTCTGCGGTTACTGATTCTAAGTTCGAAGGAGCTGTAGAATCTGTCCCTCATTTCCATGCCCATCACCATTGCCTTGGTTTAGACCTTAGCATCTGTTACCTGGAAGTCTCAATAGCCCCTTCTTGGTGTGGCTCTTCCTCCCTTTAAGCCCACCCTATTCTGCTTCTATCTTAGCAATCTCTGCCAGGGTGGTCTTCCCAAAACCCAAATCTGATCATATGATTCTATTGTTTCAAAAACTTCCAGTATTTCTCATCACCTAAACTGGTGGCCTGAAGATACATTCTGACCAGTAGATGTCTGTTATTTCACCTGGTCGATATTCATTTCTAATATGAATTTTGGAAGCTTTTCATTAAAAGGGAACAGTGCATTGGTTACAGTTTTCATGAATCTTTCCTGTTTTCAGTATAATTCTTCATGACTTGCCTGATCCCTGTTGGCACTGAAGATTGCAATCCCTACCTGCCACAAAAGGGCTTCTATTATCTGCCTTCTACCTACTTTTCCCGCATTATCTTTGCCATTCCCAGCTGCCTATTAAACCACAGAAGGTTTTAGAATATGCTCTGCTTCCTCTTGGTCCCAAACCTTTCCATATGCTATTCCTGAGACTTAAATGCTTTTTCCACCTCTGCTTTCAGACTCATTATATGTACGTTACATGTGTATATATATATGTGTGTGTGTATGTACACATTATACATAATATATGTGTATAAGTACATTATATATATATATTGCTTATGCAATAATGGATGCTGCAAGGTCTAAAATTTGCAGAGTAGGCCAACAGGGTAGAAACCCAGGGAAGTGTGGATGTTGCAGTTGGACTCCAAAGGCCACGGGTGGCAAAATTCTTCCTTTCTTGGGGAAGGTCAGTCTTTGTTCTATTAAGGCCTTTGAATGATTGGATGACATGCACCATGTTAAGGAGGGCAATCAGCTTTACTCAAAGTCCACCAATTTAAATGTTAATCTCATCCAAAAAACACCTTCACAGAAACATGAAGAATAACATTTGACCATATATCTGGGCGCCATGACGCAGCCAAGTGAATATGTAAAATTAGCCATCATAATAAACAGTATTAAAGGGTTTGAAGTTGTAGATAATGCTACTTCATACATGTTGTCATCCTCTGTACTTCCTGTTGATCTCATTTTCCAGTTTAGCAGAGATATTTTTTATAAGCTGAATGATCTTGGGCAGCCTGATTGGTGCTCAGCATCTCAGGAGACACTCATAAGCCAGTCAGCTCCCAAGAATGTAAGAGGCATTATGAGCCGTCATTCATAGCTCCTAACTAGGAGCTTAACACATAGTGCCTATGTTTTTGTCTTATGTCAAGGGACCAATGTAGAGTCATTGCCTGTCATATACTAAGCACTGGGTTGCTCTTTGAGGGTCGTTGTTTTACTTAATCCATATGAGATAGGTAATACAAGTAACGTGGGTGCTATCCTTGGCCCCATTTCATAGATGAAGAAAATGGAAGCTCAGAAAGGTTGAGGATTTGCCCAGTGCCCCTAGTTCTGGCTATCTACTGCAGCAAAATGTGTGTCCCAAACTTAACTGTGTAAAACAACAACCGTTCTGTTGTGCTCAGGAGTCTGTGGATCAAGAATTCAGACAGAGCACAATGGGGTGGCTGATTTCTGCTCCACAGTGACTGAGGCCTCAGCTAGTTTGGCTCAAATGCCTGGAGGTGTCACCATTTATCTGGTGGCTTGATTCTGGATGCCTATTAGATTCCTCTGGTTTTCTTCATTTCAGGTTTGCCGGGCTTGGAATTCAAGTGCACTTTTTTCACACATGTGCTTGGGCTGTTCCGACCTCAATCTCTCTCCCTACAGCTTCACAGTATGGTGGTCTCAGGGTAATCAGACTTCTTGCATGGTAGCTGGCTTCCCCCAGAGTGTGAGTTGCAAAAGTCTGCAAGACTTCTTATGACCTGGCCTCAGAAGTTTGAGATCATCACATCTACCGTAAGCTGTTGATCAAGCTGATCACTCAAGTCGGCCCACACGTGATGGGAAGGTTATTAGACTTCATCTCTCAATGGGAGGAGAGCAAAAATTTCAACTATCTTTAATCTACCATACCCATAATTAGTGAGAGGCAGAACTGGGAGTTGGAGCTGATTTGCTTGACTTCAAAATCCTTGCTTTTTTCCTAAATTGCTTTGTCTCTGCCAGCATCCTGTGTATGATGGCCACAGGGTTCCTAATTATGAGCAGGACCCCAGGTCACCATGCAAATAGATAGGCAGCTGCAAGAGTGTTATGAGATGACACCCCACAATGTGTCAGGGCGGGGCAATGAGAAGGGCCAGTGCCAACTTCCTGCTGGGTGAAGGGACACCGATGTCATCGCTCATGCTGCAGGGGGCCTCAGGCTTGAGAGGAGAGCAGTATTTCAGAACTGAAGGGAAAATGCTAATGACCAATGCTAATGAGGAAGAGAAAGCAAGGGGAGAGGGAACAAGTTCTGTAAAGAAAAGAAGCCAAGGAGAGGATTAAAGTATGTGGGAGAGGAGGTGGCGAGGCCATGTCTTCTGCTGCAATCTCTGCTAGGAAGGATGCAGATACTCTACAAGTCAGTCCTTCAAACAGAGGAAAGCAAGGACCCAGTTCTCCAGGGCTTTCCTTCACTAGACAGATGGGCAGATGACTGTGACTGTGATCTCAAAGGAATTAAGGAACCCCAGGAAGGACACTGTAGAAAGAGGCAAGAGAGCCCCTCTTGAGCTCACTTTTTTTGATTTCTCCTGCCTTTCGTCTTTATCTCTGGGGGAGAGTTATTATAATTCATTGAAGAATTAAGTACTGTTTTTAAAAAACTGACTACAGTATGCAGTTCACAGCCCTACTATGAGCAACTATTTATAGCTTGTTAGGGATTCTTATCTGGATGGCAGAAGGGAGTTTGATTTCTAATTTCCAACAGCAGTATTTTCATGTAATTGAAAACTCAGTTTTTAAAATGTGGCATTGACTTTCCGCACATAATTGCTCTCTTAACACTTCCACAATGTAGAGTGGAGAGGAGAGGGTATAATAAAATATTTGCTATGGACCCTGAGCCCAGGAGCTTGAGACCAGCCTGGACAACGTAGGGAGACCCTATCTCAAGAAACAAACCAAAAATGTGTGTAAGGTCTTGTTGGCTGCCTCCTGTCCGCTGATTCTTTTCTTGCTTACCAATGGATCTGTATTTCTGTTTGGAGTAAATAGGCATGAGTCATGAATGGTGTCAGCCAATCATGACAATGTCATTCCCCTGGCCAGCAATCAGTGTAGAAGTGAAAATGTGACCTCCCCATCATGGCTAATGAGATGTTATGGGAAGTCAGCTGGGGTTTTCTGGGTAAAATTCTTCCTCCTAAGGAAATAAAGCAATCCAAAAGAAGGCACTCCTTGCTCCCATCCTCTTTGTTTTGAGCAATCATATGTGAGGATGTAATGCTTTGAGATCTGCAGCCATCTTGTGACATGAGGAATAAGGCATTTTTTTTTCCCAGAGATGTTGACCCAGTGCTCTGATATTTTTGAGTCACAGAATCAGTCCTCCCAGAGCCTGCCTTCAGATCTCTGGATTTCAAGCCACACTTAGTTAAGTATTCTGTTACTTGAAACCAACAGCTGCCTAATGTGTACATTTGATCACAGGGTCCAACCATCCGGTGTTTGAAGCCAGACCTGCATTTCAAATGAGAGAATGTGGCTCAGTACCCTCTGGATTTACTACTGGTTTCACTGAGAGGGTAGCAAATTTCTTATTTCTAGGCCCAGGACTCCTTTCCTGGCTTACCTGTGGTGTGTGTGCTGTGTGTGTGTGAGGTGGGGTACTGGGGAGGAACAGGGGGAAGTGGGAGGAGACAGAAAGAGAGAGAGAGATTGGAGAAGAGAGAGGTAATATTTTGATTAAAATTCTCCATCTTAAGGTTGCAGTGAGCTGAGACTGTGCCACTGCACTCCAGCCTGGGCAACAGAGTAAGACTCAGTCTCAAAACAAAACAAAACAAAAACAAAAAACAATTCTCCATCTTAGAGAGAAAAATTATGTCTTGGCACAGCTGCCGAGGAACCCCTTTTAAACCAGAGCCCTCCTTGAAGAGGAAACCTTTGCTGAATTCTATTTTCTCCATGTAATAGATTTGCATTATGCGGTCTGCAGTCTTACAGTGGAAAATCAAACATTTTAGGGTTTGATAATTCTCAAAGTGCCACGACGCAGATTCCTCCAGTGTTTTCGTAACTGTGCAGATCATCACCTTACATCCTCTCAACTGCAAATTCTCTCTACCGTCCCTCCTGGGCCATAATGGATGTTTTTTCCTTCACAGTGAACACCATAGCGAGCCTGGTCAGCAGAGGGGACTGGAGGGCCATTGCAGGAGGAAGGGCATCTCTTTCTGGTTCCACTAGCCGCGTTTTTGTTGTTATTTCCTGGCTCCCACTGCAAGGATCGGTCAGGGATGTGGCTGTGGGGGCCATCTGGTGGTGCCCTAGCCCTGCGGCCAGAGTGCACAGACCCCCTGGCACCTTCACTGCCTGTCTTGGCCCATCAACCACCTTCCCGGAGCACTTCCAGTTCAGACACACACACACACACGCCCAGGCTTTGCATTCTCTCCTTATGGGTGGACTGCCAGCATAGTGACCCCCTCTGTGCCCATCCACCAGCCTGCACCCTGGAGGGCTGCTTCCCACTTGCCTGGCAGCTGTGGGGCAGCTCTGGCTTAGGCATCCTGGTGAACTACTCCATCATCCAGTTGGCTGCAGCCACACCTTCTCCTATGAGGCCTGAACACCAGCCTGAGGGAAGTCTGCCCTACCTTGGGTCCCGTTAGAGTCCTCATTTCATATTTACAGCTGCTCTGGTATCATAGCTGAACAATTCTTTATATTAAACTTCTCCTTGTCCCATACAGGACAGTCCATCTTCTCAGCATCTTCCCATTACTAATCATGTTTCTGCCTCTTGGACCCAGCTTGATGCACTGAGTTTCAGAGTTAAGAGATACATAGGATAAGGTTTTAATGATAAATGTTTGTGGCAGAGTTATCCACATGATGGGGAAAAGCTTGTCACCTGCAAGCGGAAGTCCCTTAGGAAGAGGCAGAGAATATCCATAGCTGCATTGACTGAGCCGGCAGTGAGAGGATGCAGGGAGGTTAAGGGGCACTGGGCATGGTGGCTGCCGATTTCCCCAAGAGCAAACGAGGATGCTGCCAAAGGAAGGCCACATGGAGGGCCATATGCTTCCTGGCCACTTGCCTGGGAACCACCAGTGCAGTGCGATAAAACACTAAATATGCTCCAAACCTTTTAAATCAGCATTACTGGGAGTGTTCCCTAGCAATCTTCCCTTAAAAATCCTCCGAAGGGCATTTTGAATCATATGAAAATCATGCAACCCCCTGCTTCAGGGAAGGTCTCCCACCAAAAGCCCTTTCAAAGGATCAGGCAGCACCTGGAGAAGTATCTGAAATGCCAGCTCCAGGGCTCATGAGGGCTTGTGCCCTAGGAATGTGATTTTACAAGTGAGGAGGAGGTTTCCCGTGCCTGAGTTTGAAGTCCCTGCTGTGAACACTAGATTTAGAAGTGGAGTGAAGAAGGATTTATTTTGGAAGAAAAAATGAGGAAGAAAAATTCATTTCTGATTGAGCCCGCGAAACCTCCTGGAGCAGGTGAAGGTGAAGCATCTTTGCATGAGATTTAAGGATGAAAGGGCCCAGAGTCAGCAGGATTATCAGGCTGAACCAGATTGGCACATTGTCAGATATGGGTGGCATAGGGGCAGGGGAGTGTGAACCCATCAAAACAGGTTTGGGCTGTCGGACAACATGAGGGGGGGCCCTAGGGGAAGGACTGCCTAGGATCCCCTGGTGATACCTAGCTGTGATGGAGCACTGCCCAGGGCGGTCCTGAGACCTGTGCCTGGTATCATCTTAGGCACTTATAGTCAATGCTGCTGGTGCCCTGCCAGATTCTTCCAGAGTCCCCTATCCATCTAGGGATGCTCCCTAAGAATGCCACAGCCCCTTTCAGGGAATGTCCCTCTGCCTCCTGGAGCAGGTCTAGACTTGCCTACAGGATGAGCTCTGAGCCAGGGGGTTAATGGCTCTGGGCATATCCAGTATCCAGTAACTAGCATTTCCAAATTCCTGACATATTACTTATCTTAGGGATTCGAGGATGAGACATCTAAATTCTTGGGAACTCCTAAAATCATAAATTATTCTGCATTATAGTTGTATTTACAAAAGGAAAGTAGTATTTAGTATTTTAATAGTATCTTTAAAGGTGCTTTTGTTGTATTTACAAAGAATCATAGCCTATGGCAAATATTCAAATGCTAGAAAACATGGGGTAGTGTTTGTGTAACACAACATTCAATATTCTAGCAGGGTTAACAGCACTACACAGAATCACATGCCAAAATGGCCAATTTAAGGACTTCTTTGATTGCTTCCTAAACTTATTTTTTGAAACACCGGCACCACTCATATGTTTTGAATGAGGAACACGAAGCATAAGAACTGAGTAATACTTACTGTATTTGCAAGAATGGCATTAGCAGCAACCAGGACCAGGGACACACCCTTGTCACATGGCCACCCTATGAACAAGGCTGACTGCTGACTGCTTAGATATGATGTTTCTCTGCTGTGTGCTCCTGTCCTGGTTCCAGGAAAAGTGACCTTCACCTTCCACTCTCCATGGCAGCCTTCCTTGCTGTTGCTTTAGACCTGACTCAGTGGGTTTGTTAGAACCAGTGATGGTTCTTTGTTGATTGTTCATATTTACAATTCTGTTTCCCATGTCCTTGAACTCTCACATGATTTTTCTTGGGATTTGGGGTTTAGGATATAAAAACCTTCTGAGAAATTCCAGGAGGGAATTCCCACATGGAAACACTACCCTCAACTCATGAGAAGCAGGGAGTTGTTGGGATAATTTTCAGGCTAATTATGGACTTGCCATCTCTTAGGATTCTTCAGTGAGATTGAATTCCAGTTGCAGAGAGCAGTAACTGACTCCATTTGGCTTCCTTCTGTACCCTGTTTAATTTCCACATTCCCTACCATTTGTTTGTTTGTGGGGAGGTGGAGGTTAGGGAGCTGTTATGGGCTGAATCATGTCCTCTTAAATTCATGTGTTGATATCCTAATCCCTAGTACCCCCAAATGTGACTGTGTTTGGAGATATCATCTTTGCAGAGGTAATTAAGTTAAAATGAGGTCATGAATTCTAATCCAATAGAACTGGTGTCCTTATAAGGGAAATTTGAACACAGAAAAGGACAGAGGGAGGACCCTATGAAGACCCAGAGAGAAGGTGACCATCTGCAAGCTGAGGAAGGAGAGAGGCATCAGCAGAAATCAACTCTGGACACTTTGATCTCGGACTTCCAGCTTTGGGAAGTGTGAGACACTGAATTTCGGTGTATAAGCCAACCAATCCATGGTACATGGTTATGGCAGCCCTAGTAAGCAAATACAAATTTATCTCCAAATAAACTACTTGCATATGAATCTTTGTCTCATGATCTGCTAAAGTAGGACCCAAACCAAGAAGACAGGGTTTCCTTTAAATCTTCACAACAAATTTGAATGGTAGGCTTGAACATCTTTGTTAACAGATTAGAAAAGTGAAACCTAGAAAGATAAAGATAAGGGAAACTTCAACATCAGTTTTGTTTAAATCCAAAACCCATCCATGCTCTTTTCCACCCACATGGCCCTCCTTTCCCCCATATAGCCTGAAGATGATCCCTCTGACTGTCTCATTTAAACAGACTTTGCATTCCATGTGGATTCCAAATTTGACTGGCCAGGGCAGGACTGCAGCCTGAGGACAGCTCTTCTGTTGACTTAAGTGGAAAAAACAGGCCTTGGTCTTGTCTCCTGGAGAGAGCACATGGGGAGTGGTAAGGCCCTGGGCTTGTCTCTAGAGTGCCGTTTATGTGATGTCACTGAAAGGTGAAGGAGCAGGTGAATGGGGAAGTGTTTTAAATTTCATCTGCATACTTGGACTCATGGTGGAGGTCAGAGTCCTTCAAAAGGAGGAAAATACGAATTTGAAAAGTAGCAAAATATTGGGAGAATAATGCTTACGGAGAAGGAACTTGACCTCAAATTGGAAAGGACTGAAGGTATGTTCTTATCGTGAAGTAAGAGCAGATGCAAGTGAGTGAGCTCTGGAGAATTTCAAGGAGAAAGAGGAACAGGGGTCATGATATGTGGGGGGCTGGGAGAGTGACTGAGACCCAGGTGACTGTCTCTAGGAGGGAAGGGAAGCTGGAAATGCAGGCCATTTGGAAAGGAGTCTCAGAAGCCTGGTGTTGTAATGTTTCTGTGGTAGAAAGATTTATCCTGGTAAGTGGCTCAGGGTACTTGGAGACAGATGTGGCCCTCCTTCAGCAATGTGGCCAGATCATCTGTTTTGCTTTCTCCATAAATATGTCTCTCTGAATGTCGACAGGGAGAGATTTGGAAATAAAACAAAAAAAAATTTTCTATGAGCATAAAAGGCTTAATTTATCACCAGCTTTTCAACCAAATGAAAATGATTTGCTTTTTAAAAAGACTGTTTGCTGAACAAATGTTTCAAAAATGCAATAGATTATTGCAATTATTGTACCCACTTTAAAAAAAATTTACCAACGGATGGACAGGTGTTCCAAAAATGTTTTCATACATTTCTCTCTGTGAAGGTGGAATCTAAGATGAAATTGCCTGGGAAATGTTTCACGTACAGGAAGGCTGTTTCAGGGAAGGCATGGACTTTTCAAGTTGCTTAGCCGCTGCTCTTTGGGGCTGCACCTGAGGTGAGCTTCTAGGTATGCTCTGAGAAGTTGCTCTGACATTCTTGCTATTGTATTGACCACAGGGATGATGCTGGTGTTCTTGTCCACATCACAAAGCTCACACTCTATCAGGACCCAGAGAACAAACACCTCTCAGACCTTAGTGTCAAGAAAAACATATGCTTGAGGGGGTGGAAAGTTTTTGTCTTGTGGATCTTGTAACTCTTGGAAATGACTGCATTTCCCTCTTGTCACTGGGAATCTTAGAATCATGTTTGTGGTTCATGTTTTATGGATGTGTAGCATCCTTGGGGGTAAATTTTGTGTGCCAAATGTGATTTTATTTTATTTCTCTTTCCTCATTTCCCTGTAGTTCTGATCGACTTTACTTATTTTCACCCAATGGGATGGGATGGAATTTTGTGTTTCATCGAGGTCTTTTAGACTAAGAGGCTATAGTGGATACTGTTGTGTGTTGCCTGAGTCTCCCTTGAAAAATCAAGGCACTCACCGCTCCAGCTGACCACTGCCTGCTGACCACTCATAGCATGTGCCTCGGCAGGAGTTGCCCTGTCTTTGTCTGAAGGGAGCTGTCTCATTCAAGGGAGGCTAGTCCACTCCCTGGGGGCAGCTTGCATCCACAGACTGGTGGATGGAGCAGCACAAAGGCCTGGTGGCTGTATTAGTCCATTTTCATACTGCTATGAAGAAATGTTCAAGACTGGGTAATTTATAAAGAAAAAGAACTTTAATGGACTCATAGTTCCCCATGGCTGGGGAGGCCTCACAATCATGGTGGAAGGTGAAGGAGGAGCATGGTGACAGGCAAGAGAGTCTGTGCAGGGGAACTGCCCTTTATAAAACCATCAGATCTCATGAGACTTATTCACTATCACGAGAACAGGATGGGAAAAAACCACCCCCATGATTCGGTTACCTCCCACTGGGTCCCTCCCATGACAGATATGGGGATTATGGGAGCTACAATTCAAGATGAGATTTGGGTGGGGACACAGCCAAACTGTATCAGTGACCTTGCTTTGATTTAGGATAACTCAGCTTCACAACCACCCCAGCCTCACAGCTCCTTGTGAGATCCTTTGAGGATGCTAGTGCAATTGCTCCCAAAGCCTGTGTGCTTGACTCTCCATTTCAAAGCCTGTTTCCTAGGAATCTGAGCAACAGCAGTTGATGCCAGCAGTGGGCTGAGGAAGAAGATTATAAAATGGGATTTTGGAACTGGATCCCCCCTAGTCAGCTGGTAATGAAAGCCCATTCCTGGTGGTAAATGGAGTCCTGACTGCCAAAGACATGGGGTCATGTGGTTCTGGGAGAGTAGGGGCCTCGCTGGGGCTGCCAGAGGAAGGGGATGCATGGTAGGCACAAAGTCTAAGGCACTAAAGAGTTTAGTCAAACTTTACAAGTTAGAAATCATAAGGACTATGGGATTGGATGGCTATCAATTGATGGGGCCATCAATATATTGGAGCAAGACAATGAAAGGCTGTGAGTGATCCATCACCAACTTAAGGCTCAATGTGGAAACTGGAAGGCATCTCTGGTAGCTTTGAAAGAGACTTACTTGCTCTAGGTGGAGGGCAGAACAAAACCCAGGATTAGACCTGGAACTTGTTATGAGATAGAGGAACCACTGAGAAGACAGGTCTGGTGTGCAACAGTCAGGATCCCGATTAGGTTAGGCTCCCTGAGATTTGGGATGGGACATCTGCATTGATGTACTAAAAAATCCTGTTTCCTAGGCCGGGCACAGTGGCTCGTGCCTGTAATCCCAGTACTTTCGGAGGCCGAGACAAGCGAATTGCTTGAGGCCAGGAGTTGATCAGTCTGGCTAACATGGCAAAACCCCATCCTTAGTAAAAATACAAAAATTAGCCATGGTGGCATGCACCTATAATCCCAGCTACTGGGGAGGCTGAAGCATGATAATTGCTCAAACTCGGGAGGCAGAGGTTGCAGTGAGCTGAGATCATGCCACTGCACTCCAGCCTGGGCAACAGAGTGAGACTCCATCTCAAAAAAAAAAAAAAGAAAAAAAAGTCCCCTCAACCCTCTGGGCCTGTATGAGCCCACTCTTCCATGTTAAAGATTAGCTCTCCTCCCTTACTCCAAGATAATGCAGAGGCCTCTGTCTTGCAGATAAAATGTCCCCTCTGCCCACCACCCCCAAGATCTACCTCCACCTTCTGTCTTGTCCTTCAGACCAATATATAGGATTCAGTCACAACCTAAGATGACTGGCTAAGGGATGGGCCAGCAAAGCGAAGAGAGGAACTATATTTTGAAGGAGTTGAAGGAGTTGCAGGACCTAGTCAACTTGAAACTGCAGGACATAGGAGAGTATGGGACTGGATCCTCAGATGCTTAGATGTAGAACATAAAATTGAATAAGGAATGGTTTATTGACAGGGGAGCATTTGTCCATGAAACAGGAGTAGCCTCTGGCTAGGAACCTGGGAGATGGTGCTAATACATTGCTAGCATGACGCCTGAAGCTTGGGGAAAGCAAAAGCATACACCAAGTGAAGGAGGTGTCCTAGCACTGCCATGTCAGGGGAAGACAAGAGGGATCAAGGGGCTCAGAGAGGCAGGGCGTGGTGGCTCACACCTCTAATCTCAGCACTTTGGGAGGCTGAGGCGGGTGGATCACCTGAGGTCTGGAGTTTGAGACCAACTTGGCCAACATGGTGAAACACCATCTCTACTAAAAATACAAAACATTAGCTGGGTGTGGTAGCTGGCACCTGTAGTCCCAGCTACTTGGGAGGCTGAGGCAGGAGAATTGCTTGAACCCACGGGGTGGATGTTGCAGTGAGCTGAGATTGTGCCATTGCACTCTAGCCTGGGCAACAAGAGCGAAACTCCGTCTCAAGGAAAAGAAAAGGGGCTCAGAGAAGCAGCCATCCTGGAGTGAATATACTATGTATGTGGCCTGCCACTCCAAAATCCCATGCTCCAAAAAAAGTACATTAGGTAAAAGATATACATTTTTTATTACTGTCATCCTTTGATCTTAAGGCTTCTGTTGATAACGAAACTTTTGGCATCACTGCTGTTGCTTGAGAACAGATCTTCCTCTCCAAACAACCTCCCATCCTTCAGCATCTTTCCTTTCCATGCAAGAGAAGAAAACAGATCAAGATTTCTTAGATAATAAAAAATACTTGGAAGTCTATAAAATAAAAACATTTTCCAGTTTAACTGCCCTTAAATATAACAGATATACAAACACGAGGCCATTTTACTTAACAAGGCCACGAAGGAGTGCCCTGGTGAGAAGGCAGCAGCATTTTTGGTAAGCTCCATAGTAGTTGTCTTCTGTAAGCCATGGTTGATGATAAATACTGTTCTAGAAATGGGCTTGCTGATAGCACTGGGCTGGATGGTGGTGCTTAACCATTAGAGCAAAGTGCACCCGACTCTTCTAATAATCAGCATGGTCAGAGTGGGGGTGTCAGAGATGAGTGAATATGCAGAGAGCTGAGAAGGCAGTAAATAGAACACAGTGTCTCATAAGGAAAGATGGAGGAAAAACTGGCCAGGGCTTTGCTCAATCTATACGATAGGAGAAATAACATACTTCTGTTTTATGCTTCACTCAGGAGTGGGCAAGTCTTATGTGGTGCACCTCAAGCAGCCCTCCAGATTGGAGAATTTTTCCATAAGTCTCATTGGCAAGAAGCGGATCACATGGGTACCCCTAATTACCAGGGAGGTTGGGGGCTTAGCCATCAAGCAACAGGGAATGGTATTGCCATCCTAGGCCAGATCACGGTGAGTCATGCCCTCAGCAGAGTGTGTGGCCCTGATATGAAGCCAGGGTCATGCTAGCAAGGAGGCGGGGGAATGGCTGTTAGGCAGGCAAGCATTAGGGCCTGTCACAGAAGCACCCATGGGATCCTGTGGCAATGGGTAAGAATTATCTGCAGGGAAGGTTTTCCCTCCTTTTCTGCTGTTTTCAAGTTTCCTGACTCCACTTCTACAGTCAATATTGCATTATTCACAATGCTGTATTAGAGTGTTATTAACATCCTTTAATAGCACACGTTGCATTATTGGGTTCTCATCATCTTCTAGTGCCAGCAAACCTGAGAGATCACAGCTGCACGTGCATGTGTATGTGTTTTATCAGTTTCATAGTGGCTTTCATCATGGCTGATTTCTCTAAAGGCATATATTGATGTTCTTAATGATTAACTCTAATGTGTGTAGACCAAGAGGGAAAGATTTTCATGGATGACATTGTTTTTTCCTCATTCCCTAAGGTTTTCATCAGCTCAGTATAATAATTTTTCTTCTCCACCTCTGATCTTCCTCCCAGAGCCACTGTGCCTTCTCCAGGTAGAAACAGCCTTCTATCTCATGACTGGCACCTTTCCTTGGTTCCTGTCATCTGTAACCAGGTATGCTGGGTGCTGGAGAGAGCCCTGGAGTTGGAGTCAAAAGACTGCAGTTGGAGCAGAGGATCTTCCCTCACAAGTTCTGCTGTGAGCTGAGTCATTTCACCTCTCTGGGGCCCAGATGGACCTTTGTAAAACTGAGTGGAGGTGAAGAGGTGGATGATGTGGAATCTCTGTGATGGCTTGGAGCCATGAGTGTTTGTGACGCTCCATGTCTGATTCTCCTCAAGGGGATCTTCATCACTTGTGGTCACATGTCCTGGTTTCCCCAGGAGCATCTACACAATCTCACATGAGGTTGGTTTTTAGTAAGTGCTCTCTTGTTGGTTTCTATGATGTAGGCTTCTCTTCATGTAGCTAAGAGATGATACTTTAAATGGATAAAAAGGGATATTTTTAAAGCTGCTTTCTCAAATTCATCCTGGCTCCCTTGCTATGGAACATGGCCCTGGAGCTGGCATTTCACTGTCTATTGACCATGCAACCTGGGGCAAGGGGCTTAATTTCAAACAACTCAGGCTGAGGAAGCAAATACCTCATTGGACTAAATGAGACAGTCCTTGCCCAGAAGGAGCTGGGTGTTTCTTATCCTCATCCCTCTGCCATTGTGCTTCAGACTCCATCCTGACACTTCTCACTCTGTACTGGACACCCTTAGACTCCCCTGAGGACAGACACCACAGTTTACTCACCCATGGTGGCCATGCCCACCCAAGACGGCAGCTCATCAACCACAGTTGACCCATAAAACCTTTGACTTTGCCTTCTTCCCCTCCTTTTCTCTTATGTCCCCTCTGAAGCCTGTTCTCTAACCTCTCTGGGAATTCTAACATCTCCTTCATGCTCTTTTTATTTAAAATGTTAGACTCAATGAGTTCCTTTGTTGGTTTTAATTGATGAAACCCCAAACCAGAGACCAACACATGGTAGAGATATCTTTCTGGAGGCAAATGTCTGTGCTTGATTTACATTCATGCTGGCTTCACACAACACCAGCTGGATGAAAAATTTTTAAAAAGCTTTAAAAGATGCTATTTCAAAATGCCTAGACATTTGGATTCATTGGACGCAGCCAGGGTGTGGAGTGAGTTTTCTGGAGCTCAGATGCTTCTGACCTTTTTTTTCAGGGAAAGGCCATGGTTAGAGTCACTTGTGGCCTTGTCTTCTCCAGTCACTAATTTTTCACTCCTCTTTTCCAAGACCTATTTCTCTGCCCCTTAATCATTTTTATTGCATTTCCCTGGCCCGTCTCCAGGTCTTGACATGTCTCTTAAAATGTAGAGGCCACAGACTAGGTAAGGAACCCTAATGAGGAAGGCAACAATATGGAGTCCATTAGAAGGATTGATTCCCGGCCCCTGCATCTGCTGCTAATTTATCCTAGCTTTTAAAGTCACGTCTAGGAGGCTCCCTTGCTTTGAGACCGTGGTCCTCAATAACCCATCATGCTTTCACTGCTGTGCCACTCATGGGCCTACTATTCTGCAGCACAGGCCTCCTCGCTTTGGTTTGGATTCTGATCAGGCTGCCTTGTCTTGTATGTGTCTGGGTGAAGCTCTTCTATTTTTAAAGATCTGCCTGGAATTTAGTCTCACTTAACAATCTACAAACTTTTCATTGCTTTTTCAAGCTTAGCAGCAAAAATAGTGCAGCTCCATACCTGGTGAGCCACACAGAGGGGGCTGGGCTCTCAAGCTCTATCCAGAGTGTGCAATCATTGGGCTGTTCTGGCCCCCCACTAGCCACTCATCCCCACCCATCCAGAAGTGTTGCTGCAGGAATTATGTTCATTGGTTCGGGTAGAAAAACACAGCAGCCTCCATGACCTTAGTGACTGGTATGGAAGCGGCCATTGTGGATTTGTAAAAAATAAATGGTGCAAAGTCTGCACTTGGCACTTTCTTATTCTAATATTCAATGAAAGCACAAGCGTGGCTTTAAACTGTCCCTCAGGGAAGGCCTGTGTGTTTCAGGAAGGGGGCAGGTAAAGAGGGATTGCTTTACTGAATATTGTACAGAGTTCTCTCCTAAGTCACCCAAGGATGCTGCTTGGAGAATCCAGATGCTGTTTGAGGTGAGGGATTTCCTGAGTGGGTTGTCTCAGGAACAGTCAGGCCCAGGGTAAGCCTCACCAACTCAGGGATACTGGATGCTGAGACTCCAGTCCAGAAGTCCTAGACCTCATCAACTCCTCTGGTCTTGTGCCAGCTGTGGGCCTTAGCCTTTACATCTGCTTCTAAAAAAAGAATTTTAAGTGCCTATTTCTTAAAGCCTTGTGAGGATCAAACAAAACAGTGGATGTTACAGGCTTTTGTATATGCTAAAGGATTCTATATTGAGAGGCAAAGGTTATATTATATAATTACATATATAATATATAATTACATATGTAATATATAATTACACATACAATTACATATTTAATATATAATTACACACACACATATATATGTGTATATGTAAGTTTAAATTAGGTTTGGTGGCACATAGGAGAAGAAAATCCCTACATCAAAAGGGCTTAGACACAATACAAATGTTTCTCTCATATGCAGGTGCAGCAGGTCCATAAATTCATCAGCTTCCCAGGCTGCTTCCAGCTTTGCTACATGTGGCCTCATTGTTACAGCCCAAGATAGCTCCTAGGGCTCCAGCCATCACATCCTGGTACCACAGTGCAAGATGACTGAAGTGGAGAAAAGAGAGCATGTGCTTGTCTTGTGAAGAGATTTCCTGGAAGTTATACAAAATATTTCTGTTTTCAGCTTGTTGACTAGAACATAGTCGTCTGTCATACTTAGTGTGGAAGGTGACCAAAGAGGGAGTGTTTTGTCTGAATAGCATTGCATCCAGCCAGACATTGAGGGCAAGTAGCTGGAGGAAAGAGGAAGACAGACATTGTAGAGGAAGCTAGCAGTGACTCCCCCACAGATTATATCCTATTAATAAAAGTAAGAACATAATTTATGCCATGTGCCTGGGCCTCATAGGGCCATCACACCTCCGTGAAGCAAAATGCTTGGCCCCACTCTGATTTGCTTTTGTCATCTCTGAAACAAGGATATTTTACTTCCCCATGTTTCCCAACTGTCCATCATTCAAATAATGCTTCTGCTGTGTAGCCATGTCTACAGCTGTGGTCAATGCTCCTCATCAATGTCCACTGTCTGTGTACCACTCACGTGATTTAATCAGTACATTTTCTTCCAGTGGATTCTCCCTTTAAGCCTCTTTCTTTCTCTCCCTCTCTCTCTCTCTATATATATATATATATACACACACACACGTAACATATATTTAGAAGCTTAAATATAATATATTCACTCTCTCTCTATATATATAAATAGAGAAATTTATATATATATTTCTCTAACACTCCTGCACCACACACTGGTCTTCCTCTTCAACAAACAGGAACGAGGCTTCAGGCACTGAACCTTGATCAGGTCACTACATCTGACCTGACATTAGGATACTTTTACTTAAGTTTCTAATGTATAAGTTACATACATTTATATATATACACACACATATATATAGATTTATATATTGAAAAAATATATTTATATATTGAAATATATATTGATATATTTATATATTGAAATTTATATATTGAAAATATATATATAGAGATTTACATATTGAAAAACACAAGTAAAATAAAAATAAGAAAGTATCCTTAACATCAGGTCAGATGTAGTTACCTGATCAAG